CACAATTTATGATTATGGCACCTGCAAGGCAAGGAAAAGGGGAAGGAGGAAGGAGAAATCAATAAAAGCTAGTGGGCCACATAGAGAACTCAAAGGCCAATAAGGAAGGCAGCCTGAACTGGACACTATTCTGAAAAGAGGCTAAGAAAGCTGGTGGGCCAGGAGTATCCATCTCTTTGCTGGGATGAAAACTCCTGAGAGTTTGTGAAGTGGTTCCCATTCAGAATTTCTGCCCCCTGGTTGAGCCAGGCTGCATTTTGGAAACAGGGAAACCAGCTCCTCCCTCCCCTGTCATGATAAGGGCACAACGTGTGCTGCCCGGTGCTTTACAACCCTCTGTAAAGTGGTTTAAAAAGTCAGCATATTGCTCCCAACAGTCTGGGTCCTCATTTTACCAACTTTGGAAGGATGAAAGGATGAGTCAACCTTGAGCCTGGCAAGATTCAAACTGCCAAATTGCAGGCAGCCGGCAGGCAGCAGAAGTCGCCTGCAGTATTGCATTCTAACTACTGCACCACCGCAGCTCATGTAGCTTTTTTATGCTAGGAAGAGGGTAATCTGATGAAGATTTAAAATAATAAGTATTTTAAAATATGTTTTTATTTCTCTGGAGAGTCTCTGTCCTCCAGGTCCTGGTTGTCCCAAAGCTGCTTTTTCAGGAGGCAACTGGACTTTCTGGTTTTCTTCTTCATCCAAGAAGCTTCTTCAGCTCTGACTGGATGGTGGGGAATGGAGGGATTTATACTCCTTGCAGACATTTGCATTCTTTTAGTGAATCACGAAGGCCATCAGGAGGTTTTACCTGTGTCATCAGGGCCACCTGAGTGCTGCAAATGGGTGTGGAGCCTTCTTGGGGAGACAAAAGAACCACTTCATAAACACGTGGCACAACATAGGAGAACAAACTCATCAGAACTAGATTCAGCAGTCCATCTGCATTTAAAAGACACAGGGCACCCTTTGGAAGACAGCAAAGTTGACATTTTGGATAGTTAATACCCTCTACTAGAAGATGAAATATTTTGGGAAATATTAAAAGGGCAGAATATTTGGTGGGGGGCGATATGCTCAGGCCCCAAGACTATTCTGAGAAAGATTAATAAATAACTTTGATCTTGTTCAGATGCCTGATCATGTATTTTAGCTACAGCTGATTTCTAGACTGGAGCCTAAGCACTTTTGAAAATTGATGCTGCTCCTTCAGCTTTAGTTTTTATTTCTTTCATATGTATTTTTGCATAATAATGTAAACGTCTTTTTTTGAAGATAATTAATATAATTATTGGGTCACAGAAGTTTCTAAATAATCAAACTTTTTGTCTGTAAGTTTTTATATTTTGGATAATATTGATGAGATGCTTCTATCAGCGTGGTGTCGTGGCGCAGTGGTCAGAGTGCAGCACTGCGGGCTACTTCTGCTGCCTGCCGGCTGCCTGCAATTTGGCACTTCAAATCTCACCAGGCTTGGTTGACTCATCCTTTCATCCTTCCGAGGTTGGTAAAATGAGGACCCAAATTGTTGGGGGCAAAATGCTCACGCCGCAAACCACATAGAGAGGGCCGTAAAGCATATAAGTCTGTGCTATTGCTACGCTTCCTTCTAAGTGGTTTCTTTCTTGCTTTTCAGCATCATGGTTTTCAGTTATTTTATGGAGCATTTGTTAACCTGGCAGTGAAGAAGTGGAATGATTGGTTTTGTAAAATTATTGGCAGTAAATTAAATATAAATTGAAAATTCTAGCTATTCGTAATTTTTTTAAATCTTTAATTTACAAAAACTTAGACATACACCACATTTACACAATACAATACGAACAGGGGCTTCCCGTTCTTTCTAATAGCAATTGCCAATCGATATCGCTCACCTGATATTATTTCCCCTTCTATTATATTTCATTGGTATTTCACCATTCTTTACCCTCTTATTTTACTCCTCTGTCTGCTATATTGGCTGATTACCTCTAGTAAATTTAAACCACTTGGATATATATATATATATATATACTTAAAGTCATATATATATATATATATATACTTAAAGTCACAACCCCTGGTATGCCCAAGTATGGGAGGAAGGTCACACTTCCA